CTTTTTGGGTTTGGTAAAAAAATTTGAAATAATTCTGAAAATTGTTATATATATATATATATATATAATAGGGTAGCATAGGATAAGGAACTTTCAGCCAAATCGAAAGGGGTCGGGGTCAAAAGTGACCGATTTAACGTGGAATGCTCCATATATATATATTAGGATGGGTAAAAAAAATCAATTATTTTTTTTTACAAGTGCCACAGAAAAATGGGTTGCTAGACACCTTAAAAAAATTCTCACCAAATATGAGCACTTAATTTTAATAGGAAAATCCTCCGCATCGCAGTTTTTTATTTTTTTCTCAGTCCAATAGAATAAAATTCATACCTCGTCATTAATTGATTGTACAGAAAAATTTTCGGGGAGAATTCTGTAGGAAATTTAATGCTCTATAAAAAAGGTATCTTATATTTTTTCCGTAAACCTCACCATTTGAATGATATTGAAGATTTAAGTTTAATTATATATATATATATGTATTAAAAAAAACGGTGACGGTAAGTCACCTTATAAGTATATATTTTCAGTGCATTAAATAAATATGTCTAATGGTTATTGTACTACCGGTGGTACACGTGGCACGGAACGTGTTAATTATAATTTATATTATTAATTTATGTTATATTTTATTATTTAATGTTATTTATTAATTATAATTAATAATCATGTTAATTATATATGGATTAGTAATATAATGGAAATTAGCACAAGTTCGCATGAATCAGTGAGGCAAATCACCATCCAGTAGTAGTGACAGTGATCCCAGAGACTTTAGTTCGTCTGATCGACACAGGGCCGTAAAATTATCATACACACCGGAAAATTATCGTACGTACAGGAAAAATTTTGAATTTGTCGGATTAGATTTTTAAAATCTGAAAAAAGATTACAAATTCCAACTTTTTCAAAGTTGATGACCTTTTTTTTTAGTCTTCAAGTTGAAACAAGCTGTCTTAGGTACGGTGTACAGCAGGGGAAGATCAGATCGTACAGTGGTGGTTCTTTCTTCTCGACATATCCAATCAAAATCGCAAGTTGAACCGTTCAACTTACCCGTTTGTAAAATTGGATGATTAAAAAAAAAACAAAAAAAATTATCAACTTTTCTAAATTCCAAATTGGATAGTGACAATTATCGTTGAATCAAAAATTATCGTACAGGCTGCATTTTGGATCGTACAAGGCTTCAAATTATGTGACGCGTACGATAATTATCGTACGAATGGGATCACTACTGTACTACTGTAGTGTCCATCCAAAAATCGTATGTTCCCGAGTTCAAATCCCGGGGGTGAAAAAAAATTATACGTCATATACGAGTAAGAAATTCGGCAACAACTAGACATGTGTATGACAATCATTGCTTTTTTTTCTTTTGTTTCGTCAAGTCAGCTTAACGTCATATTTATTTCGTAAAAGTCTTACGTCAATAAGTGTGAAATAATGAGTCACATGTGACTCATATCTGACTTATATCTTACATAAATCCTGACATAGCGCAAAATCATTTTGATGTAATTGTGTTCACTGGGTATGATATGTTAAAATATATGAGTAGATGTAATATTATTTGCTTCCGCAAGAATAATACATCGATAGTAACTGACATTGGCATAATTGAAGACACGATAATAGAGTAAAATAATGTTCAAATTACTCATCGATAACTGATATGTAAGTACTAAACAAAAATAAAAATACATAACAAATAGAACCAAAAAAAAAATATAGCCTTCAACTGTATCAACAAAAATATGGAAAATATGCAATTAAAATTGCATCATTATGTCATATGTGTGTATAATTAAAATGCAAATGGTGAGTTAAGTTGAAATATTTATCTGACAATTGTTTCCAAAATTATTCAAACAACTGATATCGGTAAAAAAAAGAAAAAAAATTATAAAATAATGGTCACCGATGTCCTTCCATTTAATGTGAAGTCTATTTTACGCAGTGAATTTTGAATAAACAAATGAGAAGATAAAAAATAAAAAAAACAAAATATGAGTGGGTATATATATATATAATATTTTTTATTATTAATATTAAATATTATACAAGGGTGGGATTAAAAGTATTAAGCCTAAACTTTATGTTCTATAATAAAAAATTATTGACTATGTTAGACTCAAAACTTTTCAACCTATCCATATATTTTATTTAACTATAATATTTCGATATTATATGAAAAGAAGTTTTCTATTTTGAATGGACTAAAATAGAAATGCAACGATTACTATTCGTTTTTAACAGCAAACTAATGTTAAATGGTAAACAGTTTTCCATAGAAAAATACCTTAAGTTCGCGATTGATAAATAATTCAGTTGGTTTGTCTATCGAAAACGCGAGTAATTTTAAAACGTACTTTCATTTGAATACGAATTTTTTAACGGATTGTCCGACGCAAAAGTTAAAGCAAAAAGAAAAAAACAATAAACGTTTCAAGGGGAAATACATKGGTCCTTGTCATGCCTACCACGTTACGCAACACGATGATGAGTATTAAAAGTAACTAACACGCTAGTTCAATATACACGTATACGAACAAGGGGTCTCGCATACGATTTTTCCTTTCATTTTTTTGACCTAGATGATATTAGAAATAAAAGAATCATTGACTGGGTCTCAACTTGTCAACATTAATCCAATAGTACAAATTTTTAATTAAGTTTCTTTCATAAATGCCCTAAGTATGCTTGAACATGACTATTAAAGTTCTGGAAATCAAATATTTATGAAATATTTAATGGCAATCAAAATTTGTAAATAAGTCATTTGATATACAATATTAATTAAATTTTATTCTAGAATTGTAATTGTAATTAATTGTTGTAGTTGCAAACAATAAATTATTTATTCCAAGATTTTTTATTAATCAAATTTTAATTATCTCCACACACAAAAATTGTGAATTTTCGCAAAATACAACTTTTCGTAAGGCCACGTTAATCACGGGTGACTGACATTTAACTATTATTTTTAATGCTATATAATGACTGTGGCCTGACGGGAATTTCCCTAAGAATCCGTGTGGCGCTAGGCTTCATATTTGTTCATTTTCAAATTTGATTACTTGATATTTTTCTCATATTTCATTTTATTTTTAATTATCTTATATTACTTTCAATT